TTTAAAATTAGTGAATAAGATGAAAAGAAGTTTGGTGACTATAGTGAAACGTTATATAAAATTGGGTGGTCATGGTGAAACATTTTATGAAATTGAATAGCTATGGGGAAATAAAATCAAATTGGGTAGCCATGATGACATTAAATATAAAATTGGGTGGTCATGATGAAACAAAATTAAATTGGATAATCATGGTGGCACTAAATATAAAATTGGATGGCCATTGGTGAATTTAACCCCCAAATTGGAATAGATGGCAAGAAGTGAAGATTCTTTATTGGGCCTAACATTATTCCTTTCTTATTTTAATCCCAAAAATTGAGTTGCTAACTAAATCGGTGGAAATAAATATTGAGTGATGCAAAGGCTTGCCACTTGGACCAATTACCATATGGGCCTATTAAAACTTTGGGCTTGGATTATGGATTTTAGCCCCATTGGGCCAGCAGCTTTATTTTCTTTCGGCCCCATGTTTCTCTAGTTGCCAAATAGTTGGCTCATTGGATAACTCAAATTGGTGGGCCAAATATTTTAATTGTACCTCAGAATTTCCGTGTTGGCATACTTGCCTCAGAATTTCCCACTTGGTAAACTTCAATTTATGGAAAATTGCTCCTCTTAAATCTTGTTGCGCCAAGTCATTTCTCATTCTTCTTTCAGATTACAATAGTTGCAAGTTTAATGTACTCCAACTACTTCTTTAAAATTGAATAGATACAGGAAAGATTTGGGACTTCATTGATGCTACAAGCTATTTTAATAATTTAAATTCAAAGTAATCACTTGGGGCTATACGTATCAATTTTCAATTTCTGTTTACTACTTTATACTAAATTCCAATATTATGGGGAGCTAATGTCAAAGCAAGATCTTCAAGGTTGTCAAATTCTTTTATTTACATTCTAACGGATTCGGTAAGTTATTCACTATGATGAATTGTGAGAGATGCGGACAATGTGCTATTATGATTCGAAATGATATTTCTAATGGGCTGATCATATTGTTGGAGTACAATTCGAAATAACGAGGGCACACTCTCCCACATGGCGCTTCTCTTGTTCGACGACTTCAAAGTTTCTACTAATGAATTCTTATTATTTGAGGCAAGCTCTAAGACCTTGCATGTCTAGGACTAACTTGTAGGACCTCGCATATTTGAAAGCTAATCTTAGCTCATGATTCTCTATTATTGTCCTCTCTCATCGAGGCTAGCTTGTAGGACCTTACATTATTGAAGATGAGTCATGGATATCTTATTATCAAAGATAGCATCTTGGAATCCTCGTTCCTTGAATAAAGGAAGATATAGCATCCTCATTTCTTGTATAGAGGAAGACGCAGTATCAGAATCCTTGTTTCTTGAAAATAGAAAGAGGTTAGTCAGATGTGTTTGTCCTTGCAAAAGGAGCCTTTCCCGACCTTATTCACTAGAAGCTTATACCTCGCCTCTCACTATCGTCGAGCCTAGTTGTAAGACCTCGTCTGTTCGATGCTAGCTTATAAGACTTCGATAGTTTAAGAGCTATTTGAGAGGATAGTTATTCCCTACCGCGCTAGATGCTTATTCCTAACTTTGTGAGATGCTTATTCCTCACTTTTTACTATCGTCGAGTCTAGTCATAAGACCTCGTCATTCTGATGCCAGTTTTATAAAATTCCGATAGTTTGAGAGCTATTGGCAGGATGTTTATTTTGTCTCGTCATTCTGAGGCCACTTTATAAAGTTCCAATAGTTTGAGAGCTATTGACGGGATGTTTATTTTGTGCCTCGCCAAATGCTTGTTTCAGGTTACGCGAGATGCTTATTTCTTGCTTTTTACTATCGTCGACTATAGCTATAAGACATTGTCATTCCGAGGCTAGTTTATAAAACTCTTTTAGTTCAAGAGCTATTTGCGGGATATTTATTCCCTGCCTTGCCAGATGCTTATTCTTGGTTTCGCAATATACTTATTCATCGTCCTTCACTATCGTTGAGTCCAACTATAATACCTCATCTATCCATGGCTAGCTTATAAGGCTTCAATAGTTCGAGCGAGCCACTAGCTCTATATTTATTACTTGATTTGCAAGATGTCTCACCATATGAGATGTTTCATCACATCTACATTTTTCTTCAAAGAGCTTTATATTATCTTTGCATGGATGAACCATCCACCATGCAGGAAAGCATGGGCGCTTCAACGAAGAGTTGGATCCCAAAGGAGACCACTTCCTTATTTGTCAAAATGGATAGCACATGCTCTCTATTGATAAAAAGTCAGGAGAGAAGCTTCTACATGGATGAATCATCCACTATATAGGGAAGCGTGAGCTCTTTGACAAAGACCTGGATCCCGAAGAGGACCACATAGTTTGTCGAAGTGAATGGCACATTCCTCCCATTGAAAAAAAGTTATGAGAGAAGTCTCTGCATAGATGAACTATCCACCATGTAGAGAAGCGTTAGAACTTCGACGAAGAGTCGGATCCCAAAGGGAAACATCTCTTAATTTGTTAAAACAGATAGTACATGTCTCTTATTGACAAAAAGCTATAGGAGAAGCCTCTGTATGGATGAACCATCTGCCATATAGAGAAGCGTGTATGATTCGACGAAGAATTGGATTCTAAACGAGACCACCTCCTAATTTGCCGAAACGGATATCACATGCCTCTCATGTAAAAGAGCCATGGGAGAAGCCTCCCACGCATTAAAAAAGGAGTTTACATTCAAATCTCCGATGATGACCTTGAAAAACGCTTCATTTTCACTTCAACGTAAGCTTCAAATTTTAGCAAGATAGAAACATCGCTTTACTGCTGCATCAAATTTCAGCAAAATTTAAGCATCACTTCAGTATCTTCATAACAACTCAAAATCCAAATTAAGGCTTCTACATAAATTAAAGGCTTCCCATGAAATGTCTTATTTTCTTATCTCCAACCATGATATAAGTATCCATACTTGGGCTTGAGGGACCATTACGATACTTATATCATAGTATCATTACATTATTACTGCTAGCTTGTCATAACACTATTTTCACTACTTCCAGTACGTATGTCACGTTATCTTTGTTATCAACATGTTACTTGCTTCATAGTAGCGCTGGGTTGTACAAGTATATGATTTTCTATGATGAATGATAGACTCTTTGTATATTATATAATATAGAAAATTAATTTGTCATTATTCACTTTATCGTCATGAGTAATTTAAGGGGCAAATGGACTCCAAATTTATTTTATATATATATAGTGGATATATTGTATTGTATTATATGTTGTTTAGTCCATATTATAAAGGAGATGTTGTCAAAATTTTAACAAATTATATACATCTTTCGAGGCAATCTGCAAACCCTTGCTTATTCAGGCTCGCACATATATTTTTGAAACATTTTGTAAGTCTTCATATATTGGAGCTACTCATAAGTTTGAGACAATCTCTAAGACCTCGCTTATTTGATTACTTATATTCTGAAGTTCGATTAGCACATGAATGTATGATTCAGATTTGGGGGACTACTGTGTTACACCTATAAATTATGTGGCATACGAGTGATGAGAGGGTCCCACATTGGCTGATATGGCATCGATTGGACCAATTTAATTAAAAAAATTTATTTTGGGCTTGAACTTGGGCCCATTTCACTAAACCTATTTGGCTCACTTCCACTTCTTTATATATATGTGGTTTCATTTCACACGAAGGTGTATCCTCTAACCCTAAACAAAATCTCTTCTTCCTCTCTTGCATTCATATATCTTTCGCTTGACTGTTGATTTAACCGTCGAAGTGCAAACAGTCACCGAATCTTTTTCTCAACCACAACCTTTGTATTCTAAGGAGATGTTTAGTGTGTAGGTGAGTTCACGTGGAGAGGACGTTGTCAAGATTCCGTTGACGCATTTTTGAGATCAACAAACATGTTAATTTAACATGACGTGTCAATATTTAATTATGTGTATAGCAAATTGAATGACAAAAATTGGATAGCAAAACACGTGTTCGAGAAAAGGAAAAAACTCAAGCATGAGAAATAAGAAAGTGCTGATCTTGTTACCGACGAAAATGGATACAAGAAAAATGGTAGAAATGGTTTAAATGTAAAGAAAGGTAGACATGTGTCAGCGGAGGAGGATCATGACAATAATGACACATATTTGTCCTGCAAAGAACAGGTTCACATGGAGAAGGTTTTTTTTTTTTTTTTTTTTTTTTTTGAATAATAAGAAATGACTCGAGAAAAAATGTACTCATATATCTTTACCATGTTATTTTCTCTTTTTGTTGAAGATCTTAATAATACCAATTGAATTAATTCTGGTTTCTACAATTTACATTACTAATATTACACTGACATTTCTCAATTTAAGGAAGTTGTAGGAAAGTGAACTAATTATCTATTTTGACAACTAGATGCTCTCAGCTGTGGAGGCTGCGACAAATTTTAGATTTGTTTCGAAAATTGAATTTGTTATGGGTCTAGAAAATATATTTTGGTTTCGAAACTAGGATTTTAGCTTCCATTTTGTGGATTCTTTGTACAATATTTTCCAGGATAAAATTGTCGGAGTAATCTAGTTGATCTTTAATTAGAAATTTATTTAAATTTTGATTTAGATTCTACTTATGAATATAATTTTTAACACATAATGAATCTTCTTGAATTTTTTTTTTTTAATACCTGAATGCTACTTATGCATAACTCAATGTTGTAATTGACTCGAGTAAATATTAAGTTGTTCATTTGTGTAGCTTAGTTATGTGACACAAGTGTAACATCTCAAAATTAATAATTTTTATAGTTTATTTTAAAGATAAATAATTTTTATAGTTTATTTTAAAAAATAAAAATTAGTCCATAAAAGGCTTCGAAAAGCGTGATACGTGTAATTTATTTATTCTATGTTATCTCCGTTTGTTTCAATTTTCCGCAGTAATGGCGCTTTTATCCCTAATGGTATAATTGAATAGAATTGGACGAAGAGAAACCTGAGGCGATTCCATATCAGCCAACGAACTCGTTTCTTTCGTCAGCTCATAACCTCCCCTCCTTCACTCTATCCTCAATCAACAGAAAACACACACACACACACACACACACACACTCACTCACACTCAGCACTCCACACTTTCACTCTCTAATTTCCAACAATGGAATTGAGCTTAAAACCTCAATCCATCTCTTTAATCACATGCAATCCAATGTTGTTGCCTCTCTCTCCTCGCAGCGTTCGATCGCAGAATAGTGAATTTCTCAGCTTGGGCCACAATCTCCGGCCGCCGGGGAGCCTTCGTTCCCGAAGAAAATGTAGGAGTCAACGTTTTAAATTTCATACTCATGCTCATAAATTTCGGTTCAGGGCGTCGCTCGAGGCGCAGCCGATTCTCGTGGCCTCGGCTGTCGTCGTATCCGTCTCTGCCATCACTTTAGTCTACCTCAATTATAGTATAAAACAGATAAATATCAAGCAGGTAACCGAAATTTACTTATTATTTCTTATTTAAAGGGAATTTCGATTCGAGAGCCGGCTTAGGCATCAAATTCAGTCTTGAGCAAAGGCACAATATCCCCGACTCTCTCGCCCAAAAAAAAAAAAAAAGAAGGAATTACGAATGTTAGTGGAAATGTATGAAACGTAATGTGAATTTTTAGATTTTTGAATTGGAGTTTCATGTAATTATCGTTCTGTAGTTTTGCAATTTTGATAGTTTTTTCAAATTATGTAGGCGGAGGAGAAAATTTTTGTGATATGTTGTTAGTACCCTTGTATGATTATTTGAGAAATCTGCATGTACTCTATTGTTGGTGAATGTGTTGGCATAATGCCATAACGCAAGGGATGTCTAGGATTTGATTAGAGTCTATGTTGAAATGAGGTTTAGTTAATTGAATGTGAATCTTGATGTTCTATGAGGATAGCGATTAGCGTGGCTATCAGTTGCATGCTTATTACAGCATGCTTACTATCTTGAAAGTAGTCTTTGCATGGAGCAGCTCAAAATAGAATACTATAGCAACAAAAATTAGGGAGAATCTTTCTAAAGCAATGGTCTCACTTTTCCAATATAACTCGGGAGTTATATTTGTTTATTCTTGTTTAAGTTGAAACCAGCAATCTGATGCTTTATTCTAACTGTGTAGGTGTCAAGGCATCTGACTGTTGCATTATCCCAACAAATAAGCAATAGGATGAAATGGGGTGTTGGGCTTTGGGGATCAAACCGTGATGATGTAGACAAGGAGGCACCTGCTGATGAGAGGAAAGATTCAATGAAAGATCTAAGAGAAATCAGCCAAGATTACACGAAAACAGTGTCTGAGATGCCATCTGGTGAAACTTATAAATATTCAGGAGGAACACTCATCATGGATACATTTGATTCTCACTCTAACATGGTTGCTTCAAGTGGCGGTGAATTTTCGTCCTTCAAGAAATTGGAAGATACAGATATCTCTTCTGCACATTCTGCGTTGTCTGATGGGCATTTGGATGCACGTGGACGGCAAAATGTAGTTGCTGCTGAATTGTCGATGCCAAATGTAGTTGCTGCTGAATTGTCAATGCCAGTGGTTGAAACAGAGCCCACCATTGCTGCTTCTAAAGCAAATAATCTACAGGTAGAAGTGAATAAACTTGAAAGAACAAATTTTGAACTATCAAAACAGTGTGACACTAGAAGCAATGATCTTATTCTTGGGGAGTCTGTACGCGAAGGGCTTCATACATTTTATGAGGCATCCCTTGGAAACTCAGATGGCCTGGAAACATTGTCTTCTGCTGGTGCCCTACAGAAGAAAAACTTTGCGTTGCAAACAAAGAGTTTCTCTGTAAAAGGTGCCAAACTTCCTGCATCAAATATTATACTCCCTACAGCTGATGCCACATTAAGTTGACTTTGTTTTTCTTTTTCGTTATTTGACGTCTTCTTTGTCCCATCATGTTTTTTGCACTTCCATATTAGAGAATGGAGTTTCTATTTTACCCTTTTCTTATTACTGATCTGATGGAAGCATGCTGCTTTTTCCAGATAAATTTGTTAGGAAAGGACCTCTTAGATGTTTTAAGGAAGGTTCTTTCAGTGAGCAGAAAGACTCCACAGGAAGGAAAGAGGGAAAGACTGACAAGGAGACGAGAACTTCTCACCAAGATAGCACCAAACATTTGTCTCTATCCTTTGATCTCAAGGGGAACCATGCTAACCATAGGCACAATTCTTTTTGGCAGTTGCGTGTTTACCAACAACTTTTGAAGGAAAACAGGTGATAAATTTTTGTTAAAAGGAATTATGTGCTTTGCATCCTTTCCATGAATTTGTTGGTTTTCTTCAAATTCTTGTTTGCATGACATTTGTCATTACATTCTTCTTTCACTTTCCGCGTGACTTTCAAAAGTTATAATGTCATCAAACCGCTTCTAATTTCTTAGAATTTAAAAAGTAAATTTGATTTTGGCAATGCATTAATCACATATCTTCCTATCAGAGCTATTAAGCACAAAGCTAACAAAAGATTTTGTCAAATGAACCAGAGATATGAACATTGGAAAGCATATGCTGTGTTTTCCTGTTTATTGGAATATTTTTTTTTTCTTCAATAAATATTGCACATCATTCGTATTTCCTGTGTTGCAGGTTAAGTGATTGTATTGAAATGCTTGAAGATATGGAAAGAAAGGGTTTATTGGATATGGATAAAGTGAGGCTGCTTCTTATACCTTTCTACTTATCAAAACCTAAGCTTGTATGTGCTTTATTGATGTTGATGGTTTCAGGTGTATCACTCGAGATTTTTCCATGCCTGCAAAAGTCAAAAGGCTGTCAATGAAGCTTTTCGTTTTACCATGCTTATCCCTAATCCAACATTGAGTACATTCAACATGCTTATGTCCGTTTGTGCAAGTTCTCAAGATTCAGAGGGTAAGTTCTTTCAGCTGTCCAAAAACTTTTGTAATTCAAGTATGCCAATGGGACCTGCTGTTAAATGTATCAATCTCTAATCTATTTCGCCATACTTCTAGGAGCTTTTCAAGTTCTACAGCATGTCCAGGAAGCTAGATTGAAGGCTGACTGCAAACTTTACACAACTCTGATATCAACATGTGCTAAAAGCGGAAAAGTTGATACAATGTTTAAGGTTGATCACTTCATTTATTATTTCCGACCTATAAGATTCTACATATGCTTTGTAATGATGACTTAGATGTACTTTCTACTTTAATGCTGGGAATCATAAAATCTCTTCCTAGCTATATGATAATGTGGTTTCCACAAAATTTTCTGAGGACTCCTCTTGCAACGTGGTATACTAAGTGATGATGAATCACTATGTTTGACTGTTGTAACCTATGCTAATATATCTCACTTCTTACACTCTAGCCTGTGAGATTAAAAATGATTTTCCCTGTTAGGACAGAAATATAGATGGGTTTTCTCAATTGTGTTAATCTAAGTCATTTTATTGGGTTCATAAGGCACATTCCACAGTTCTTACTATCTGACGTGGGACCTGGATGATGCACCAGCTTTACTGGTCAAAAGTCTTAATTTTGTAATTCTCTTAGTAAAAATCGTAATTATGGTACAGTCCACCTGTTCTCAAAATGAAGGTTATTAATGGGAAGAGTACCAAAGTGGAGGAAAGGCTTCCTCAATTACAGAATTGGGAAAATCAATCTGGTAAAGTGCAAGTACTTTATAAATACAGAGCTAATAGGTCCACAAAAGAAGACATGAAACTCACTTATCCCATATGATGTTTATGAGCTTATGCTACTTAATATCTCACTGTGTTTACTTTCCCCTTACCGTCATGTGCAGCCTTATACACATTAAATTAGATAGAGAAATAATGGAATCTTGTCTATTGAGCAGTCTTACTCTTGATTATTGATCATGTTTCTTGTTAAATATAGGGTAAATTCTTCCAAGAGTTCACAACTTTTCATAAGTGTGGCAACTGCATCCTAAACCTTTCAACATTGTGCCCGGCATCCCCACCTATAGAAAAATGTCTATATAGTCATTAAATGGCCACATGACACATACATTATAGCTGACTAATAGGACAAAGTTGTTTCTAAAAAAGTAGCATTAAGTGTAATTTGAACCGTCACCAATTGGTTTTTGGAAGAAATAAAATATTTTCTGGACAATTTTGTGCTTTCAGTTATGAATCACGTTGTCTAAATAGACGCTTTGTGTTAGGTGGGGATACCACGTGTACAAATGTTATAAGGTTGGGGACATAGGTGCCACATACAAAAGACTGAAGACATGACTAATTCATTTATGAAAGGTTTAGGACCCCGGAGGAATTTACCCTTAAAATTAAGGGATAATTGAATGCCTTTACATTGTCAATTTCATCCGTATTTCTTACTGAGTACCTCTTCTTGGTATTCTATTACGTTCTCCCAGTCCCTGTTAGACTGTCATGCTCTCACAGAAGTTTCCTGAACTTGTAGGTTTTTCATGAAATGGTCAATGCTGGAGTGGAACCAAATGTTAATACATATGGCGCCCTGATTGATGGCTGTGCTAAAGCTGGGCAAGTTGCTAAGGCATTTGGTGCTTATGGAATACTGAGATCAAAGGTATAATTGTACAGCATATTTCATATTCTTTCTTCAAGTGATTTTTCTCATGATGTGGTGGATCGTACCGTGGAATAAGTCTTCACAACAATCGGTTGCATGCAGTAGAATGTGAAGCCAGACCGAGTTGTATTCAATGCGCTTATCACTGCATGTGGTCAGTCAGGAGCAGTGGACCGTGCATTTGATGTCTTGGCTGAAATGGGGGCAGAGGCACAACCGATAGATCCCGATCATATCACTATTGGTGCTTTGATGAAGGCGTGTGCAAGTGCTGGTCAGGTGAGGTTTGTCTGGATATTGCCTGAAATAAGGATACATTGATAGTCTCTCTCCTTATTCCTTATCCCATTCTTATTTTAATATAGGTTGATCGGGCACGGGAGGTCTACAATATGATTCACAAATATAACATCAAGGGTACTGCAGAGCTTTACACCATTGCAGTGAACAGTTGTAGTCAAAATGGCGATTGGGAGTTTGCATGCTGTGTCTACAATGACATGATACAAAAAGGCGTTGCCCCTGATGAGGTAATTCTGTGAAGGCCTTTTTTCTTGGATATGCATTTCTGAGTAATATCAATTGATTTTGGTTTCATTATCTGGAAGTTGCTGTTTTAAGATGCCTAATTAATTTAGATTTTGGGACAGAGATTCATGAATTTCAGTTTTGGTAGCTATAATAGAGTTTTTTGACTTACTTTAAAAGATGGTAGTCTCCTGTAAAAATGCCAATTAGGAAGCAAGTCAAAAGACTTGGATAGGCCAGCAGATGGTTGGTGGTATTCAGATATTTGTTATTTTTAAGTTTTGCAACAAAATGTCACTTAAATATTCTAAATCGTTAACAAATGAAATCTTGAGATCATATTTGCAGTAATAATACTAGGTTTGTCCCGTGGACTTTCTGTTTCTACAATTAAGTGAAATAATAAAACAGTTCAGTTTTTGTGGGGACGTGCAATTCACCTGTTATATCCATGTTTACTTGTGCAATAAAACTGCATCTCGTGCTGTTAATATTTTTCAGGTTTGGAACCTTGCAAGTATAGTTGGAAGAAAGACATTGCTTTGACTCTAATTCCATTCAATCTGATCAAGTTACATCTCACTTTGAAATTTTTAAGTGTTAGAACTCCATATCAGGTTTCTGTTGAATGCTTTATACGAGTCTCAGCGATTTCATCTTTGGAGGTGTTCTTAAAATGCTTTCTGATAGCAAGAGGCTTACAAAATGGATATGCAACTATAAAATATTTGTTTTACTTGAAGTGAAGAGTGATATGCAACTATAAAATATTTGTTTTACTTCAAGTGAAGAGTCCAGTGTATTATCCTCCTTTTCTTGATTAGATAATACCATTGATTACCCATGGAGAACTTCATCTTTGGTCTGATGGGTACTAATTAGTTATAGATGGTAGTGTCTCGTATGGTAACGGTGTTATAAAATCAATTGTATTTTTCAACAGATTTATTTTGTGAGGGGCACATGTTAATCTATGTTAAGTTGTGATATGGAGATTTCTTACTAGCTTCATTTGGTTTGTCAGATGTTTATCAGTGCGTTGATAGATGTTGCTGGACATGCTGGAAGGGCGGATGCTGCAGTTGAAGTTCTTCAAGCTGCTAGGACTGAAGGAATGCACGTAGGAATCATAACATACAGCTCCTTGATGGGAGCCTTTAGCAAGGTATGTCCCACCAATCCTGTAAATGTATTTGCATCATATTTCCTTTAGGTAATATTTTCCTTGTCTGGTTAGTAGGGATTGAACTAGGGTTTTCACCAATCAGAAGTTGCCTTTATTTGAAATAACTTCTTAGCTTAAGAGTTGGCTTTGGGATTTAATTGTGGTTTTGATGTCAAACCTGCGGTTGGTACCAATTTCTCGAAACATGCTCGATTTGTGTTTTGCATTGGAATCTTAGCATATCTGTGCCGAATTGTTGAGCTTTTTAACAGTAGAATCCTTTTCCAGTACAATACAAGGAGGCAATGACATGATGAGTTCCTTATCTAACATAGACAATTTAGGATGATTGGACTGAATTATGTCATTCAAATGGCTTGTTTGAATATATGACTAGCTATCCAGTGAGAATTAGGATCCTTTTTCCCTCTCTGTTATGGCCCCCCTTGTTTTTTTTTTTTTTCCCCCCCCCCCCCCCCCCCCCGGTTTTTAACTTCTTAGGTGGATAAAAGTCAATTTTTCCTGCTGTAATTCACTTATACGTAACAAAATCCTGAGTAAATTTTGCCTGTCTTTGTACACTTGGTTGTGAAGATCCTCTTATTATTGACCCGTTAATCATCGAAAACTTGGTTTCTGAAAGCCAAAGATAATTAGGTGGTGAAGGGAAACTAAAATTTTAAAGATAGATGCTGCAGATTGTTTTAACTTTTAACCTATTTTACATTCAATCTTGCTGCTTCTCCATTTGTAAACACAAATATTTTATTTTTATTTTTTTCCCTCTCCAGCAATATGCATACTTCGGACTCAGTTTAAAGATTCTTTCGGCCAGAGTCTTTGAATAGTTAGGAAAATTTATGACCCAGTCTTCTTTTTCATGCGAAACTTGATATGTGAATGCCTTATTTTCTTTTTCCGTTTCAGGCAAAAGACTGGCAAAAGGCACTGGAGTTTTATCAGGAAATTAAAAGCTTGAACTTGAAACCAACAGTTCCAATGATGAATGCCTTAATAACTGCCTTATGTAAGTCACTCCCCTCTACACCCCACCAAAAGTAAAGTGTCAAATATAGTTTATTTTAACTCTTCTTCTCAATCTGTAGTGATGATGCTTGACTTTAGCAAAATTCACATGTTGATGTGGTATTCTGAATCTTGAGTTTGTTTGTTTGATGAAAAATGTAGAGAATTCACAACTCAGTGGTCAGGTATTGACTAGCTTCGTGGGAAGGGTGGGAATGTGTACCGAGTTTTGTGATTAAGAAGAAGTGTTTGGTCCTGCTGCTTTTAGATACTTTCTATGGACTAGAATAACAACATTTTCCTTTGCCATCCGCTTAAATGATGTCCCAAATAGAAAAGAGGCTCGGTCATTTACTTATATATTCTGGTTTTGGTGAAATGTTTTCAGAGACATCAAATATATGCAAACAGTGCCTCCATCCCACAATTTTTAACAATTCTAGTTTTGTCACAGAGTTTAAGTATTGAAGATTTAAGTGGAAAAGTATTTAGGTAGAATATTTGTATATTTTTTACTTGCATCTTATGCTGTAGTTATTCCGAAGTGTTATCAATCTTAATATTTTGATATTGTGGTCGAGTGTTTGTGTACTATATTTTAAATTGACATGGGTCATCTTGTTGAAATGGTTATTTGAATTTAATGGCAGATTGAGAACAGTGAGGATTACTTTTTTCAATTTTAGGTGAGTAAAAATTTAAGGGGGGTGTCCTCAATCTAGAGTTTGATGGATTTTAAAACTCCATATAAATTGAAGTATACTCAATTCAGATTTAAATATAATTAATTAAAGTATAGGTGTCCCCAATCTAGACTTTTAAAAATACTTATAAATTTAAGTTTCCTCAACATAGATTTTAATAGGTAGTTTTGAAATTTAGATGTCCTCAATAACTAGTTGATTTTAAAAGATTTCATTAAGTAGATAGATTTTGAAGGATTTCAAGGTAAAAATATAAGTACAAAGAATCAGTAACAATTTTAACCCAAACCTAAAAATTTCACAACATTTCTCACCTCTCTCCATATTTGCTGCTCTCTCTCTCCCCCCCCCATCTTGAAAAAAATTTTCTTCTTCTTTCTATCTCACATTTCTCTACCGTGAAATGATCGTGTATGAGAACTTTTCAATTGATGATAATTTATGAAAGATTACTATTTTTTGTTGAATATTGAGTGTGATTTTTTATTGAACTTATTTTTTCTTATTGAAACTATATATTGTTTACTATTTTATAGATGTGCTGCAAATTATCATGGTAATTTACGATTTCTAGTATGCATACTAGAATAACTTCGTCTTTCAAGTTCTATACCCTATTCATTTTTCTTGGGAAGAGCTGTGTGTTTTCTATATATACCTGCAAATTCTAGCCAAAACATGTGAGGATGGTATCCCACAATTTTTTCTTGTGTCTGCATGGTCAATGAGAATTCTGGGGGTATGAAATTAATTGCCTTGTGGACACGTATGTGTACATCTGTGTGTTTGTATCTCACAAGGTTGTGGCCTTTTGAACTAATTCATATTGATTACGACTTTGATTATTTAACACTACATATTTTTGTCCTCTCCCACTCTCGCATTTTGTTGAATATTAGGTGTATTTTTTATTGAAGCTCTGTTATAATATTCAATGTTTAACAAACAATTGAACAAGGATTCGATCATTTTCTGTGATTTATTAACGTGCATATGTTTAAGAATGAGTCGTTAAAGAAGTAAAAATTTGTGGCTTATGTTAAGCATATTTATAAATTTTACCCAGAATCTATAAAATCCATTGAAATCTATAAAATCCATGAAAATCTTTTAAAATCTACAAAATAGAAATCCATTCAAATCTTATGAAATCTATTAAATTCTATCAAATTTCACACAATCCATGAGAATTTATAAATATTAAGAAATCTATTAAATTCTGAAATGGGGACACCCCCGTAAATGTGGAAAATCCCTGAAAAGAAAGATGCCATATTATCAGGGGACAGGGAATATAATTTATGAATTATGCAAACAACAATCTTTGGAGGCCGACTTAGAAAATGTTGGTTGGAAATTGGATCATACTACATTACGTTGAACTAAACAATATTTAGGTTACATTTTCAGTCTATCTGAACATGGGATATGCATGCAGTCATCTTGCCAAGTCATTAAAATCATTCAGTCAACTCATTCAGCACAGCTGGATATAATAGGTGGACATTGAATGATTAGAGGAGGTGTAATTGAGTGTGGATGTTGATATGGGCCAAATCTATTATTTCTTGAGCCCTTTGTGTCCATTTGGTCCATTGGTCTTGGGAATGCTTGCTGAAAAGAAGATCAAAGATATTTTAGTGTGTAGGTTCTACAAATTACAAATTAATTTTGCTAAGTTTCCTTTCACTATGTCTCTAAATGGTCCATGCAGACGGTAATGAGATTTTTTAATTTAAATATTATCAAGTATTAATTGCATTGTGAATGTTTACATCGAGTTGCAAATTTCTAATCATCCATTTTGCATTAGGTCTGATATCTGCATTATGGCATTTAATTTACTAGGTGAATCCATTCTAAATATTAGGTAAATTTTACTTTGAAACTTTCTAGGAGGGTTCTCAGGTTTCAAAATATGAGTTTATTAGTTGGTGAATGTGGTAAAACTGAACCACAAGTTCTTGGAATGACAGGCGCTGTTCAATTTTGGTTCTCCATCTCATGGCTGAAATTTATTGGTTCGATCACAGTTTTGAACTACATATTTGAGACTTCTTCATTTGTGCTTGGGAGTTGTTTAATGACATCTGTGGGTTGTGAACTTGGGGATAGGGAATTGACTCAACCACACACACCCGTGAAAAGGAAAAAGAAGAAGAAGAAAATTGATGTGTAGCTGGGGTCAACTTGCCGTGTTATAATTTATTTATATTTAGTTTCTGAAGCTCATTCAATGCTCATTCAACTTTTAGATAATTTATGGACAATCTAGGGGTTTCTTGATTGTTAAGAGTCAAGTCTGCAGGCAATGGTTAAAAAATATCTAAAATTAACTTGTAGTTATAATTACCTGGGACCTACCAAATGAAAATTTTATTTATTTGTCTGCAAATAAAGTCGATCTTAAGAAAATTTCCACAGTTTCAAATTTTATTTTCCATTTGTATGATAATAAGTATGAAAAAACACTCAAGCAAATATCCTTACAGGTGATGCAGATAAATTAGAGAAGGCCACTGAAGTTTTATTGGAAATGAAGAGCATAGGTTTATGCCCAAACACTGTCACATACTCCGTCCTTCTAGTGGCAAGTGAAAAGTAATTGACTATCTCTGAATTTCTTACCAGGAACCATTTCTTTACCTTCTGAATCTACAGAACTGAATATTACTTGTACTATTTTGGTCTTTTTTTTTAACAGAAAGGATGACATAGAAGTTGGCCTCACACTCCTTTCCGAAGCAAAAAAGGATGGCGTTGCACCTAACCTCGTTATGTGCAGGTGTCTTATTGGTAAGATTAATAGGGCTGTTACTAAATAACTTCCGTCTGAATATTATTTGATTGAACATGAATCCTATTGTTATTAATTAAGAGGGTAGGGGAATCCAAACCCCCCATTGTGACTAGGTTGAGGTATAAAAAACCAACCTAGGCATTGATAGTGTTTTTGTTTAAAAAAGTAAAAAATAAAATTGAATCCATGACTATTCTTGTCATGTGCATGTATCTTTTTACTATTTGGATTTGTCCAATTGTTTTATCGATTTAACTCATGTGTTAGTGCTAGTTTTTATCGGAAAATAGTACATTTGCATCATATACTCAGAACTTCTACAAATTTATGTCACTTGCTTTGTCTTGTGTCTTGCTGGCAAACTATTGCTCAAGTTGCACCACTAACTAGGTGATAATTTTTGGTGTCTAATATTGTCATGAGAATGAACACATCATTGTTTCAAAATATTTTGCACTACAACTTGTTTGGTCTGAAATGGTCACGTTATTAATTGATTGATTTTCTTTTCTAAACGGCATTCTCTCCTAGTTGACATTTTGTGCCTATGCATTACAAATTGACTTTAAAGTTGAGTTCAAAATTAAGTTGTACATGGTAATAAGGGCGGAGGAAACTTTGCCTTTCAATGCTCAAAATTCAAGCTCATGATAATTAAGTAACCTAAGAAACTATTGAAATTTAGAGTTGCTTGACACCTTAACCTTTCTTTCTTCCCTTAAGAAGCTATGTGCACACACTCCTATTAGGGTAGCGTGTCCATGTCTGATACATATCTTTGTCATGTGGGGTGCTAACTCATGTTGTGTCATGTCGGGCGCCAACACGTTTTGTGTCATATTGGAGTCCGTAACTCCATGCCATGTGTCTGAAGAGCCACGTGCCTTGTCCTAGTTTTTATACTTTTAAATGTCTAATGCTTGATGGATACTTAAGGGACATTCGCTAGGCAATGTATGGCATGTGCTTGTTTTATATTAAAGAGTATAAAAATAAATACAGAATATATTAACTTTCAAAGAATTTAAATTGATGAGTCCCAATGTTTCCATTTCCAACTTTTTTAGAAAATCATGCGTCACCGTGTTCGTGTCATGTCCATGTCCATGCCTGTGTTTGTGCACTTAGCTGAGAAGTTAGAAGCTCCAAAACAACCTTCATGTCAGCCATCTTATGATATGAAATTTCTGGTGATTTTAGCTTTATTTAAAATGCCATATTATATTGTTTAATGATTTCTTATACTTACTGATCAATTTTGTCTTCTGAAGCTATGTGCTTACGAAGATACCAAAAAGCTTGTACATCTGGTGAGCCTGTACTACCATTCTCCCCGCGGAGGCTACATCTTGATAATACATGGTAGATGTTTCTTCTCTTCTGCAGCTACATTTCCTAAGAAATATAGTTTACTGAAATTATGGACATCTGATTACTGAGAATCATCTTGGTATTTGTTCTTTTTCTGATTTTTGTGAACGTAATTGCAAAAACTAATACTGCTATGGTAAGTTATGAACTTGATGAGTTCCAGGATGGCTTTGACAGAAATTCCTTTTATATGCCTCATTATCTTTATAATTGATTGATAAAGCATTATTCTTGGAAATTAACCTTATAAATTGACCTCTCATTTCCTTGACCAAATAATATGCAACTTAATCGTGTGTGTGCGTCCCTACTCACTACCTTTTGTAAATTGATTTTCAAACTCTTGTTCTCCCTCAGGAAAAAAAAAAAAAAAAGAGGAACTTAAGCTTGCCAGTAATTATAATTTTTGTAATGAAGAGGTAAGGGCAGATTTTTATATTGTTGACGTCAATTGGATTTTTTGCTTATAGGGCTGTATGTGCTTTTGGAATTTATTTTTAAATGGAAAATTTAGACTATCAACGAAAATGTAGTAATATAAATTAATAACAAAGAAGCCTCAAAGTAATTTTACTTGAAAAGTTGCTGAAGGGAAATATTTGACAGAATAACAAATGTATCTTTGCTTTTCAAGCATTTCTGTTACTACTGAATTAAAGAATTCGAAATTGTTGTTGAAACTGACATGGTTCAATACTTTTCTCTGTTTTTTGTTATTTGATTTCTTATGAGATATATTGATTCTCACATATTATGTATGTTCAGTCACTGGTTTCTTTACCTTCACCATTACATTAAATTTTGTTCTTCTTGAAGTTCAATATCAAATGCAACTTAAAATTATTTGTTGTCATTGAAAAGTGTTTTACGAGAAACTTTTGGAACAACCCATTGGGAGCTGAAGATGTTGACATCCTCAATTCTGTGGCTGAAATATCTATATTTTGTTGAACACTTTTGTTTATTTATGCTAGTTCAGCCTATTAGATAAGAAAATAACATGCATTTATCATCTATATGAAAGAAGATGATTTTTCTGCAGGACATCGTTGGCCTTGATGGTCTATAGGGAAACAATTCTATCTGGTGTGACACCTGCGATGGATGAACTATCACAAGTTTTGGGATGCCTACGACTTCCTCACGATGAGTTCTTGAGAAATAGACTCGTCGAGAATTTTGAATTTAGTACCGATAAATCGAAGGGCTCCAACCTCTATTCACTGATTGATGGATTTGGGGAGTATGATCCCCGTGCTATTTCATTACTTGAGGTCTGTGGATACATTTCATAGATTCTTTATCCTTTCTGCATTGTTAGAAAAAATTTCATGGTTTCTGAACTTGGACGAAAATTGATTGGGGATATTTTTGGGTTCTCTGAGTTTTCAGGAGGCTGCTTCACTTGGAGTTATACCTCTTGTATCTTTTAAAGATAGCCCAATTGTTGTGGATGTGAGGAATTTCCAGATACATACAGCTGAGGTGAGCTAATTTCTGTTGCACTCATAATTCTTGGATTTAGATATATATTTCCTTGTTCTCTAAGATCTTCAAAAGTTCTTTGCTCTTATTCAGAAAGAAGAATATCATTCTTTAAACTAAATTGGAGGTCATCTAGCCTATGTATGTTTACTGTGAATTGCAACTTTGATTTATATCTTTTAGTTTGATTTGTTATCCGGAGAGGATGGGAAATGTATCTTGTAACTCAACAATTTTCATTTACAACTACTGCATATTTCCCTCCGTGATTTGCTTCCTCACTTAATTTGTCTCTCTATCATACAATTGAAGTATGCCATATTCCAATGCTTTATTCTCACATGTTGCTCCTTGATTACAGTCGGTGTATATTAAGTCAATATTTTACTATTTGTCAGGTATACCTTTTGACAGTTTTAAAGGGTCTCAAGCATCGTCTGGCTGCTGGTATCAATATTTCTTACCTTATGAATAGATGCAGGCACAGTATTAGTTTGGATTTTGTATAGTTTTGGTGAAGATTTTAATATGGCTGAAAAGGATACGGACCTATAATTAGACAGAGTTCAGATGGTTGAAATTTAGGCTGAACTAATTTTATTCATACAATCAATCCTATATATACTAGTGCTATCCTTTTATAAAATGTCTTTGATTGGAAAACTCATGCTAGGGATTACAATGGCATCTGTATCTGTCTAAGGAATAAGATAGAATACAAGTTAAAATGGATCTACCATTCTAACTCAGATAAACCTTGTTATCTACTGAAGTAAGTTTACGAGTTTCCATTGTATGTTATATTGTTAAGTTTAATATCAGCAAACTTCTAGTTGAAGGTTTCTCCATCCAAATTCCTTTTTTTACAAACTAAAAGTTGCATCTTCAATAAATGGGCCACATTTTCATTTATTTTATGTTGCCGAGTTTGAAGAGGATAACTTCACAATCACATCTAATACTTGTGTATTGAAATGTCTGATAGGGATATTTCTTTCCTTTTTTATGTTTATTTCTTTATCCCTGTTGATATTGATTTGGACTCCATAATGTTTTTCTGGTACTCAATATTTTCTGATGTAATTTCTTCGTCATGCCCTTCAAGTTTCTCCCTACCTGGCAATGTAAAATAAATGTAATGGATGATGCCATTTTTGGGATTAATAATCGGGATACACTACTTCCTTATTTCACTTTAGTTATAAATTCTTGCAGGTGCGAAGTTGCCTAATGTAAATATTTTACTTCCTGTAGAGAAGACACAGATTCAAACTTCCACAGGGGAAAAAACCATTAGTATTGCTTCCAGGTAAGAGAAGCTTCTTTGCTAATTGGAAATGAAAGGCTCCAAAAACAAATGTTGTTATGTGGTTGAAATATTTTTAATATCTAGATATATATCATAACTAGGTACAGGAATTGCTGTTACGATAGAACTTTAATGGTTGAAATATTGGACATTTTGGTAAGGAGACCTTGAGCCACTCGGAGAGGCCCTTGTGCATTCTAACTTTGTTATGTGACCCACTCTGCAAATTTTAGTTGTCCCATGTAATATATAATATCTTAGAGTGTAAATGATGATGTAGTGACGATAATTTGTTTAGCTTACAGAAAAGCATGAAAATGTTTTGCCAATTATGCTGATTTATCTGGGGATGGTGTAGTTTCGTATATAACAAAGAGCGAGGTCGCAAGCTCCAGTTCACTAGTCAATCAGTGCGTTATGCATGAAGAATTTTTCGCAGTCTAAATTTGTCATTGCAAAATGTAAGATTAAAAACTAGTTTCAATAAGTATTAAATGTTCCATTTGGTCAACAGGATTAGCCAGGCAGTTGCAGCACTGTTGAGGAGGCTTGGACTAACATACCAGGGAAATGAATCATTTGGGAAAATCCGAATTAATGGCGTTTCCATAAAGAAGTGGTTCCAGCCGAAGCTGAATTCTCCTTTCAGAGGGAAAGCAACAGATTTTAACTCGTTCCAGGCACGACTGGGAAGAGGAATAATCCATCAACAGCGTAATATCAGGACCGGCAATTTGTCATTGGAGTAGGAAGTTCACATGTATTCACAATGTAAATCTTTGTCAAATCTTATGACTCGCAGTTGGTGCGTGAGATCCATTATGTCCATCAACGACCTCAATCGAAAATTGACAGCAAAAAGCTCAACGGGTAAGGAAATACTGATGGAATTCAATGTGGATGCAGTTAATGGAGTTTTGAGACGAATGATAAAAGACTGACTCCAACGGGGACTTGCATTTTATGGTTCAAAGTTCGAACTCTTGGCTGTCATTTTTGGCTTCTTCAGCGTCGGATATGGCCTTAAAAATTGGGGAAAAAAAAAAAGAAAAAAAAAAAGGACTTTCCATAAACTTGTGAGAGAAAAGAAGTGTTTAATATATAGGAGGAAAGCTGGGGCAAGTTCCCCAGGCTTGTAATATACTTACCCAGAAGGATTTATAATTTCTTTTTCATTTACTTCTTATTTTATTTGGGTCTGCTAAAAAATATACGATCAACATGCTTAAAACCAACATTATTATTATTTTTTTCTCAAACTCAAAAATCACTTATTTGTCAAAAATTTCCGGAACTTAATTCTATTTCTAATCTTTGGAAGGGCGTACTCTAATAAGACCATGGCAAATCACATGGCTTGTATTTATTAAATCAACCTGAAAAAGAATTCGTATTTGATCATCCAATGGGTGAGCTTACCAACTGAGGACATATTCACTAATCTTACGTCTCGATTTAGTAGCTTATAAGATGATAAGCTAATAGTTCTCTGTAAAGCAATTTTGTAAAGATTATAGCTTACTGAATTTTTCTCACTTTTTGATTCGATATTCTCTTAGCAGAGGAGTTTGGAAGTAAGGCTGATATTGAGATTTTGGAGGCCTTATACCAATTTCAAATATGAATCCTATCTATATATCTATAAAATAAAAAATAATAATTTGCCCAAAGATTAATTGAATTGTGAACAATAATGAGATATAGATATTTAGTTCTTTCGACGATTACTAGAATAAATCAAAAATTTAGGAAGAAGGTAGAGGTACACTTCTTTGGTTTGTACGAATTTCTTTCTACTTGAATGCAATATGATAGGTTGAGATTGGTATAGAAATATAGCTAATTTGCTTATTCGAATAGGATTTGTTCATCTCGAGAATATTTATCAATTAAAATAAAGAAGCTCGGTCGGGTACTCTTGTTAAAAATTAGCAATGCTTGGCATTAGAAGTTAGGATGAAAAATTATGGTGAAGTCAAAAAGTCTTAGCATTTTAGATCATCTTACTCAAGTTAAAAAATTTCTGACATCTCACAATTGCATTTGTAGAGTTGAAGTCATTAGATTATTTAGTTTCAGATTCACTTTTCTGAAAAATAGTAGCTTAAATAAGGTTTGAATTATTAATTTCGAAACTTAGTATCGTGGTCTTCGAAGAAATAATAATTTACTCATCGTATATTAATTTGTCATAATTTATACTTTCGAATTTAACGAACAACAAACTATAGGGAAAAAAAAAAATGTAGTCAACCGCTACATGTATTATATGTTTAGATTATGAGATAAAGGTGACGATTTGTAAATGTATTACCTCATAAAATTCATAGCTGTCGATGAAAAAGATGATATTTTATCGCAAACCTTTAAAAGTTCAACAATTTTGAAATCTTCTGTTTTGAATATCAATATATGTTGTAAGAAATTATAACACAAGACATGCGCGCGCGCGCACACATATTTAACACATGCCAATAGTCTTAGGTCGCTACCACTAATTTATTTATTTTTTCACTTTCTAAATAGTAAACAAGAAATACTAAATTATACAAACTTAAAATAGTTTCACAATTTGTTTCTTTTTTCGCTTATTTTCTACAATGTTCATCATTGTAAACTTAAAATATGACAAAGCACAAAGAATTAAGCCAATATCCTATATATTTTATTACTAAATACTCAAGAAGAGTGGAGACAATGCTTTGACAAGTAAATTATATTTTAATCTTTCTTTCTTAAACTAATTTAAGTCCCTTTTAACACTCAGATTTCATTTAGTATTTGCTTTTGAGTCAAATGCAAATATACCATGACTCCTAAATGTGCGTCTAGAGCTCAAAAAAAGAAGAAGAGAGAGAGAGTAGTGACATTAAATCAAAGTCAAGCTGAAGATATTGATAAGTACTTAAGTGATCATTTATAACAGTTTCGCGTTATCATTTAATTGTAATATAAATAGTTTGAATATTTCAGCTTATTTATTGTTTTATTGTTGTTCTTAAGTTAACAAATTTAGCTCGTAAAACTTTTGTAAATGGAAAAAATAAATTGATTACTTGCTATAATTTAGGAGCTCAAATTTTAAAGTTGGCCTCTAGCCCTTGCAAAACACAAATACGGCCCCGATAAAAATTAAATATTAAATTTTTATTTGTTTAATTATTCATATATCCTTTAGAAAATAAGTTATAAACATAGAAATTATACACATTACATAACACACATAACAACAAAGGCTTTCAAAACAAACCTAAATCTCAGCACATAGTGTAAATCCGTGAAACATGTAGACATTCTCGTTATGCGCGAACCCACTAATTATAATTTTTAATTCCCACCACCAAAATGATTGCTAATTAAAATAATAAATTTAGTACCTTATCTAGATGTCCAAACGTGATTCCAAACAGTGTAGCAATAGTAATCTAAAATATTTTCTTAGCTTTGAAAGATTTTTCTTTTGACTTGGAGAGATGAAGAATTTGTAAAGAGAAGTTTAGAATTAGGGAAATATCAAATTTTATTCATTGAATATTCATTATCATTTATGTGAATTAGTTAAAAGAAACTCCATTTGTTTCATTGTCTCCATTAGCTTAGAAAAACCGTGTGATTTATTTAGTCCCAGAATATTTTGCTAAACCACTATTCTATGAAAGATCATTTTTTTTAATTACATAAATAAAATACATATAATTAATAAGATTAATTATACTATCACCATTTTTGTTTCTTACACCATATCTCAATTGTAGTGAAAGTCATTAATCTTTGTTCATTGTCGCATTTATATCCCCCTTTTTGTTATTATTATTTATTTATTTTGCATTCTTATATTTAACTTTCAATAATTATCCCATCTTGTCTTGAAAATGGTTTATGTCCAAATATTGTATTAGTGTCTTGAAATGAGAGCAAAATCTTTTGTCGAAATTTTTTATTTTGTTAATTTTTACTTACTTAAAATGCGATTAGCAAATAAGTCTTTTTTCTAATGGATTTTTCTGCTGATGTAAGATGTGCTATTAATTGAAGATTCAAAATTTTATGAAAAAAAGTAGGGAATATGATAATTACAAAATAGTTGAGAACCTTCATTGTAACTAAAATGTGATAATATATATGTGTGTGTGTGCGCGCGTGCGCGCTCAGAAATGATTTTACTGAGCAAGGGCTCACTATAAGTTCATCCACCAATGGATTTATACAACATATTATCTGTGCTTAACATAAGATAAGCACCGATACTCATTAAATCATTCACATGTTAAATACACATGTAAAATTCAATATCTAACAATTAGAAATAATTATAAAGATCATTAACAAAAAAAAATTACTTAAGGTAATTTTCTACTTGTATAATGTACACTATTATATAGAGAAAGATCACTTAGGATGAATATATCTTCAAACTACAAATTATAGAGGTCAAAGAATTAAAAATTCTCATGATTTGTCATACAAAGTGCAAAGCACGTTTTTAATAACTAGTTTATTAAATGTGACAAGCATTAATGGCTTTCATCGATATCAATAATTTGCGGAAGTTATTTAATACTAGAAATCACCTTTATTGATGATCATAATAATTGCCGAAAACTTCTCATTTTGAATAATTTAAAATAATGAAAAATAATGTTAAACTATCCAAAATATATCCATGCCTTTCATTTATGACAATAGTTTATAGAAAATGTTTTATTTAACATGGCCATAAGTCAATAAAGTTTAACTTTAAAAAATGTGTAAATGATTGACATATTTAGTATTAAGTCTGTGTCTCTCTAGACATGTCTTCTTAAGTCATCTTATAGTTATCATACGAAACAATGAAAACGTGAAACGAGCTAACACCCAGTAAACAAATTCATGGATGTGATGCATGCCTATAATATGTATTTATTCAGAAAAAAATTTACCTTTCAAATACGTATCCCTTTTTCATTTATTTCTTTAAAAATATTAAAATTGTAAGCTCAGTTTAATGTATCGCTTGGCCAATCCAAAAATGGTGGGACATTATTATTTAGAATCAAATCAATCTACCAGTAATACCAAAATACTTTTAACATTAAACATTATCATTTTGGGTGCATCGATCCAACAGTTCCCCACTCCTCATTTTTCACTAACATTTTTCATGATATAGACATTTATTTTTAAAAAATAAAAAAATATTGAACTACTTATCTTTTAAAAATATTCTTTGTAAACATTATGTATTATCGACCTACATTTCATGTGAGGTAATAACATGTTAACAATTTTTGCACGTACGCATAAAGATTGTACATATAACGACAAGGATAGCAATAGCATATCTCTTATAAAAGGATTTTTGACAAATGAATTTGACAAAGAATAATTAATTGTACATACATAGTTTCAGACATTGAGTTAAACAGTAGAATGGAATTCTTGAACTAGGTTTCGAGTTTTTCTATGTTGGGGCTGTGAAAAATAGGTCTAGTCGAGCGGAATTAGAGCTTGATACGATCCATTTGATTTTCCAATCACGTTTTCACCGAGTAGGCATTTTATTGGCTAATTAAAAATTTTGAAAATTTGTGAATCATATGATGATTATGGAATTTCAATTTACGATAGAAAAATAAACAATATTCATATGGTTACACGATTTTTTGAGATATCTTTAAACAATGCAAAATTCTTCATTTATTCGAGGATGGAGGAAAACAACAGGCTTCATACATGTGGAACTCACGACCCTAAATGCACGAATTTGAAATAAAAATATAAACAGATAAAGTGAAATTTATGTTTCGAGTGATAGAAGAAAAACTAGCTCTTGTTTGGGCGCTTTTTTTTATTTTTACTTTTTTTTTAAATACATCTTTTTAAAACTCATTTTCAATTATACGTTTTCTTGTAAAATAAATATACACTTGAACTTATAACTTATCTTTATGTTCAAATACATATTCTTCAAAAAAATATTATTTCAAAACATATTTCTCTCCAAAATCTCGTTTTAATGAAGTTCAAAAGGGTGTTCAACTCTTCTCTATCCGTGAGGCTGTGTATGCATAGTTCTTACACATAGTCCATAGAGATAAGGGGAATGGAGAAGGCAGATTTATATGGGTGAGGGAAAGGGGTATTTGAGACGGGTGGGCCAAAATTTGAATTTTTCAAGAAAATAAATCTAGATCTTAGGTTGATTTATA